CTTCACCAGAGCCCAGAAGGGTGCCTGGCACAGAGCTGGATCCATTAATGTTTGTTGAATGAATGGGTGAAAGCATACGTTGGGTGTGGGCTCAGCCTCCTAAGGGGAGAGGGTGTGCGTCTTAATAACCTTGGAGAGCACAGCTAGCGCACGGGGCAGTGGCTCTGCCAGCCCGTCCAGCTCAGGTAGAGGCCATAATGCATCAGTTGCCTAGTCAGTTTGAGTGACTGTCTCTGGAGGCGAGGAGCTGTGAAGGGCAGGAGGCAACATCCTGGAGGCGCTGTGGGCGGGCGGAAGGGGGTGGGAGCCGTCGCTGAGCAGAGCAGAGATTGCGGCCCCTTCATGGTTGCTGGTGAGAATCTGCTCGGCAGTGACTTAGGTTTCATTTGCTCATCTGGAGAGGAGGGAGGTGAGATGCAGGCAGGCAGGAGCTGGCCTCGGCATGGTGTCGGGCCTTCGCCAAGGGAAAGGCCCCTGAGTGGGGAACGTGGGAGGTGAAGGTGAGAAAGGTAGCTTGGGGGCCAGACTCCCAAAGGCCTCAAACGCCGATCCCACACTGGAGCCGGCCTCCTGTAGGTCCTCCAGGAAGCAACAAAAGTTGAAGAAGTGTTTGCCACACATATTTAGACATTCCCCCGAGGAATCCGAATATCATGAAATATGTGGCAGAGGAGAAAATTACTATTTTTGTTCACGTAAAAAAAATAGTTCCTTTCGCTCAATTCCAGGTGGAATTGATAAAATTAGAGGCATGGCTTTCTCCCTCTCATGTCTGCAGGCTAGAGTGAGCTGTTGGCCCAGTGCTGACTTTGAAAGGAACAACAAATAAACAGCTTCTTCAGGAGGCTGCGTGCTGACGTAGCAGCGAGGGCTCTGCCTTGAATGGCCTGCCTTCAGTGAGTGAGCCAGCATCGGCCTCTGAGGGCCTCCAAACCCAGAAGCCGTCTCCCGGGGGTGCCCTGGGATTGTAGGTGGGGGGCTGGCTCTGAGCCCCGTCGTCGCAGGTTAGACGGGCTGGCCACTTCACAGTCCATTTCTGTGGAGTGTCACTCCTTGGCCTACCTGGCCAGAGATACAGAGCTGCCTTGTTTGGGCTGCAGTATCGGTGCTCAGGGAGGACTAGCATTTTGTTGTTATTGACACTCCCCTGCCAGGAGGAAGGCAGCCGGCTGGCTGTGGAAAAACACCGACTGGGAGGCAGTGGTTTGGGCTCCCAGGCCGTGTGAAGGCTTGGGGAGACGTCGTTCCCTCTCTGGACTTCAGTTTTCTCGTTTCAGAATGACAGAGTTGGACCAGCTCTGTGGTTCTTAACCTCCTGGAACCCTTTGAAACTTGTACAAGCCACGGACAAGTCTCGGAAGTCTGCACACATGTGGTTTGGCCAGCACTGTAGGAGCCCCCTGGAGCCCCTGAGATGAAGCCCTGGACCTCTGGGCCCTGCCCCCGTCTGCCCCACCTCCTCCATTCATGTACCTCCAGCTACACGGGGCTTTGCACATGCTCTTCACCCCTTTGCCTGGTCAACTCCTGCTCGTCCTTGGAGTCTCACCCTTCCCTGTCCTCCCAGGTTAGATTAGGTCACCCTACTGGATGTGCTCCCTGCCCTGATCACAGGGCCACTAAGTGATTCTTGTGCGTGTTACCCTACTGTCCCTAAGCCGTGACACTCCAAGACCGATCAGTGAGTGTGCGAGTGTGTCGGAGACTCCCAGGCTGCGCTTCCTGTGACACACTCGCTGTACGAGATGTGCCTCTGCCTTCGATGATTTCCTCCGGGGCAGGGCAGGGAAGTCACTTCAAAGCGGGGTCTTCTCGGTGTCAGAAGACTGGCTCCCAGACTTTCTGCCTCAGCGCTCTGCCGGGCCTGACCTCCAGGCCGGTTCTCCTTTGTTTATGTTCTGGACTGAGCTGGAACTCCCACTTGGAACAGTCCCACAGTGCTTGGCGCTTCCTCGTATTGTTGTCTTTTTCTCTGGAGGGGAAGTGACCAGCCTCAGCCTTTCCTCCCGGCAGGCAGATTCCATGCACAAAGCCTGTGGCAGCCGCTGGGCACCCGCTGGAGAGCCCTCTGGGGGCTGAGTGCACATTAGTTACAGGGACCGCCGGCCTTGCCCTCCTGAGCCCTGATTTCTACCTCCCCCTCAAGAGGTGGGGAGCTGCGCCTCACAGGGCTCCCTGACTCAGGAGTATCTGGTGTGGCGGGCTCCCTGCAAACTGTTTCAAATGTCAGTAGCCACAGCATTACCTCCCTGGTTTGTGTCACTTGCCACAATCCTAGTATTATGACCATGGTACAAATGTTTGTAAGTGAAATTTTATCTGCACTGAGGGAATCGGTTATTTACCAGAATGTTGCCGTGGATCTTACTGTGGTGTGGGAAGAAAATCCCTTGTAAGGGTGGAGATTTTTCTTTATTTATCTAAAGCTGGATGTTTATATAGAATAAAATCATAAAAAGCAACAGTAGCAATTCTTGAAGAGTATTTGCTGTGTGAGAGCACTTTTTAAACATTACATTTAACCTTTAAACTGCCCTGTGAAGTGGGAGGCATGATAGTACACATTTTCCCTGGGTGAAAATGTCAGGTCCAGTTCCTGCCCCAAAGTCCCCCGGCCCCTGCCGGGACGTGCCCACTCGGAGATGCCGCCCCCAGGGGCCGCCCTGCAAAGCCAGCCCCATCCCACTGCTCTCCTGCCTCCTCTGGTCCTTAGGAAGCGGGTAGCAGATTCCTAGCCGAAGAGGAAAATTACGGGGCTGGACCTGGCTCTCTGAGTACACGGCCTTCATGCCTGCCTCCCGCCCCGCATCTGTGAAAAGGGGGCGGGGGTGTTGGACAAGGTGGCCTTGCTAGCCTGTCTCTTCAGGCCCCACCGGTCTGAGTTAGTGATTTGGGGCTTGTGATAGTGATGCCTCTAGCAGTAACCTTGACATTGTGGCCAAATGCAGCCTGGTTGAAAGCAGTACATACACCCACAGCATCCTGGAAGCATTTGTGCAAAATGTGGAAGCACAGCGTGTCGGTCGTGCAGAGAATGCTCAACTTCCGGTGGCTTTCATTGTCAGTTTGCCTCACCTGTTAGAGCCCAGGTTGTCTCCCTAAGGTGTGGGCTGGAGATGGGTCGCCTGTCCATTTAGGACTGTGAGCATCGTCACCTTTGGGGATGACTCCAAAAGACACCTTTTCCAAGCTGGGAATTAGTGAGGCATCCTTCGTAGTAGGCCGTTCTGTTGCTCTTCTCCCCCCTAACCAATGATTCAACCAATTCGAGTCATTTTGGGAGGCCATGATTACCCGAGAAGCACTTGAACCATGGGGTCCTCCTTCAAAGCTGTTCTCTCAAGGAAATTTCTCCTTCACTTGGAAGGTTCATCAGTAAATTAGTTGGGATGCATTTTCTCATGGAAACAGGAATGTGTCAGCCCCCAGCTAAGAAATGACAGAACCAGACTGGAACCCAGTTCCCCCCGCTGTGACCGTTGTCCTGTGTGTGCCCAGGCATATGGGGAATTTACCCAAATGTGCTTCCTGACTTCAGGGGTTTTACAGACTGACATGGGAAAGAAAAAGATAGACGGGTGAAACTCCAAGGCAGGGGAACTGCCTGAGCTGAGGGCGGGGAAGGTGGCTGAAACAGTGCTCGGGCGGGCCCACGCGCCTGGCTCTTGCCGGAAGGAGTTTATTTCTGAATTAGAAACTCCGGTTAACCCATTCTAGGGGGTGGGGGCAACCGGTGTGTGTGTGTGTGTGTGTGTGTGGAGAGAGAGAGAGAGGGAGAGACGGAGAAAGAGAGAGAGAGACGGAGAAAGAGAGAGAGACGGAGAAGATGAGGCCTTGAGTGCATGTAAAGATTTGGATTTGGCCTCATTCATTTTCAGGCGCTGGCGAGATAATTTCTCTCTTCCTTGGGACAGGCAGGGCTGGCACCGTCACGGCCGTGGCACCTGCGAGTTGTGACAGAGCACACTGAACGCTCAGACCTCCAGTGACCTTCTGTGCCTCTTAAACCCGGTCTGTCTGGTTCTGTGGGTCTTTGGGGAATATCGTCTTTACATTTTACTGTAGTTCTATAATTTGCTCCCATATTGTACCATCCAACCCCAATAGAACAAGATTGTGTGCCTTTGGTTAAATTGACTGAAGCCAGAAATCTGCCTTCTGAGCTAATAGTTGCACAGTCTAAGATTATAAAAATTTTGACAATAAATATTCACCAAGGGATTCCTAAGTGTCGGGTAGCATGTAAGCACCTCCATACACATTTCCTTTCATTTGATCCTCATTACAGCTGAGGAGCTGGGCCTGAATCATGCCCGTTTGACAGGTGAGGAAACAGACCACTGTGCTCAGTTGGAGACGCAAGTGGCAGGGCTGGGGTTTGAACCAGGAGGCTGGGCCTCTCGGGCATTCTTTAAGAGCTTTTCTGACTGCAAACTCAGGGATCAAAATCAAGGACATCTTTCCATCTACCTGACATTTTCTTCCTTTTTCCCAAAAGGTATATGATTTCATGCCCTTCTTTTGTCCCGGGAAACCCATTGTTAAAAGTTTAGGTGATACACTCGTTCTCCAGAAAAGTTATTTCCCAGCTCAGGTGGGAGATTGGAGCTCGAGGTGGTAAACCCTTAGCTGTGTTTGTCCCGTTGTCCTTTCTCCTTTGGAAACTGAGGTTTAGCTTGTGTTTTGCTGTTTGTTTTCCTTGGGAAACAGTACTAATGAAGTCAGTTTGTTTTCTTGGATGGAACTGTTTTCTGATGCATGCGTCTGAGAGTGAGAACCTTAAAAAGAAGGTGTGACATTAGAGTCTGTGTGACAGTGTTTCTCGTGGCACACCCAAAATCGGTCCATGTGTCCCTTTCAGCTTTTTGATCACCTGATTCCCCACTCCTCCCCCAAGGAAGAGCAGCACTGAGTGTTTGGAAATGCAGTTCATTCTTTGAGGCTGCTGCTCTCCGATGAGTAATTGTGTCGAAGGAGGGCCGAGGAAAGAGCTTAATATAGACGGTTACTGAGACCCACCGGCAGGGCGACGGCGAGCCTTTTCCTCTGATTTCCTCCGTGGGAATGGAGAGGGTTTGAAAGGCAAGAGGCCAAGACCTTTCAGAGGAGAATTCAAGTTTCTCTTGGAGGGGTTTGCCAGGACTCCCTGCTCTGTGACTGGGGTGTTCCGGAGATGAGTCCCCTTTCAGCTGGTGACTCGGTCCTTACTCGCTGTTCAGCAAAGACACCTGGCCTTGGAAGGGCTCTGTGACCCTCTGGCTTTAGAATGGGCAACACTGTTGAAACCCAGAAGCCCCTGAGACGAAGCCACCAGTGCCTCTGGAGACAAGGTAAGAGGCTCCGGGCTTCATCTCCAGGAGGAAGGAAGGAGGGAGGCAGCCTTGGTTGGGGTATTTTGGCTCAAAACCAGATCTAAACTGCCCCGGGAAACACACCTTCCAGATTAGAAAGGCTTGCAGTTCAACACAGTTTAAAGAAAATTAACAGAGGAATTGAATGACTTGTATCTCAGTAGGGTGGTGTGGCTTGGCTGAGAAGTTGAGCTTGAGGTTTTTATTCAGTGCAGTATGTGGCTGTTGGTTGAAAATTTTTAGTTTTAAAAAATATTCCAAATAAAAAGTTTGATATCCAGGAGTCGGAATCTTTTGTGACAATTTGGTTTACAGAATATCATAAATAGCTCTTAAATTACATAGATCCTTTCTTCCAGAGAGTTCAAAGTACCATCCCTAAAAACTCGCACGCGTCTCCGTCCTAGACGCCTATGACACGGGCAGCAGAGTCTGTTAACACCCACTCTGTGTCTCTCAGGGGCTTGTGCTAGTGTCAGCCTGGAGGAGGGGGAAGCCAGTGGGACCCCAGAGCAAGGCTGCGGTGCCCTTGGAACTGGGGGGCCTTGTAACAGTGTCCCCGGGCAGCTCGCTCCTCCAGTTACCCGGCTCACTGTTACTAACCCAGCAGACCAGCAGTTGGCAGACCCAGGAGCCATGTCAGACTGCCGCAAATGGCACCCTCAGCCTTTTACCTCCACTTGCCAAAAAAAAAAAGCGGAAGTTGCACTTACCTGTAGCAAGACAGTCTGATCGCAGCTGTATGTGTGGATGTGTGTTGATGTACAGAAAAAATAAACTGGGAGAAAATGCATGGAAATGTTAACAGTAGTTGTCTTTTGTGGTCGGTATGAATAATTTCTTTTTGAAAGGGAAACGTAGATGGGATGCTAATTTACAGTCCAGCTTCAGCCCCTCTGACTTTCCATCAGTCATTCTTTGTCCAAGTTACTTTGAAAAAGGTACTCCGTAGTGGTCCCTGATCAGATCCTGGGTTGAATAGAACAGCAGTAGATTGGGGGGCAGTTCAGGAAATTTGAATATGAACTGGGTAGTAGACGATATTTGGGACCATTGCATATTTTATTACGTGTGATATGGTCATGATTTACGTAGGAGAGTGTCCTTTTCTGGATAGTCATGCTGAGGTACTGAGGAGCGAGTGGTTATGCTGTCTATAATTTTGCTCTGAAATGATTCAGGTCAATGATGAATACATACATAGGCGGACATGCAGATAAGCACAACAGGATAAGTTTAACAAGTGTTAGAATCCAGGTAATGGATATGTGAGGTTTGTTTATATATTGTAATGTATTTTTACTCATTTTTTTTTTTTGGAAAAATAAATAGAAACCAGTTGCTGTTTAGGACATCATAGCACAGTGCCCTTCAGAAGAGTGCGTCTTAGCAGACATGCGCGTTCCAGAGGTGAGTCTGAGCGCTACACGGTGTCAGCGCCACGTGGGCTGGCGTCTCCAGCCACCAGGAACAGCACTGGCACGACCCACAGCACCGCTTTGTAACGGGAATTTGATATATTTACTGACGTTAGGATTATTTCTGGCTTTCCTTAAGAAAGTATAGAAGGGTTCAAACTTCTTAAAATTTCCATTGCAAGCAGCTGGATTTTCAGGCAGAAGTGAAGAAAGCTTTATGTTCTATTTTGTTACTTTCGTCAGTTGTGTTCAGTAATTTCAGTGAGAGCAGTTGTAGGACCAGCATGTTTGATAGGAGGGATTTTGGGATCCACAGTGAGCTGGGGGTACAGAGAGCAGCTGGTTGCCCTGGTGTCCGAGGTTCCGCGGACCCTGCTGAGCAGGAGCGTGTGGTGGCCAGCGCAGGGCTTTGCTGGCAGAGCTGAGGCCCCGGGACAGCAGTCTGCCTCCCAGCCCCAGGCCCCTCGAAGCCCTGCCAAGCGCCCGCAGTACAAGGGTGTGCGTGGTCCCTCAGTTTGTCTGTTTGTCTGTCTTTGTCTCTAAAGGTTATTTATGTTTTGGAAATGCGATTTTAGAGCAGGGTGTAGGAACCTGGTTCAGTGGATCTAGCGCCACCCTGACCGCCCCCACACGCGGGTGGCTGATGGCTGCAGGGCAAACAGCATGTGTCCAGGTCCGCTGCCGGGGCACGTCCTCGTGCGCACTTGCTGCGGGCAGTGGGGATGGCCCCGGCTGCCCTTGACGTCTGTCCAGCGTGCCTGTCTCCCTGCGATAGCAGAGCCAGACCGACCGTGCTCAGGAAGGTCAAGCCCAGAGTGCACCCTGAAGGGGGACTTCAAGGACACCATCGTCTGTGCTTTGGGTCATTCACATTTCTGTTCCTGGGCCACACACCTGCACAGTTGAAAACCTGAAGTGGCAGAAACAAATCTCACCCCCTCTTCCTGCTGTTACCCTAAAGAGCATTTTACACCCAGTAGAGAAATGTCTCTGATGATGTTAAACAGTGTGGGACATGCCCCGTCTCAGAGGACTGACCTTATACTCTGAGTCTTACTGTTCTTGTTTTTCTTATAGCTCTCAGAAGCCAAAACATAAGAGAAAAACAGCAGTGCTCCTTTCGGTTTTACAGTAGTGGATACCTGCAGTGGTTGATCCGTTCGAGCCGTGTCTTAGTGAGGTCTAGCCGGCTTCCATACAAAGCGATAGGATGGGGGAGGCAGGATGAGCCGGCAGTGGCTTCCGTGATCTGGGAGCTCCAGCTCGAGCTGTGCACCCACCCTGCCGTCCGACCTGGAACAGTGAAGTCTGTGATCCTGAACGGCCTCATTCCCTTACAGCCCACACCGCCCGTGGCCTCCAGACGAGAGTGCTTCTTAGCGGTGTTGCTGCTCACTTCCAGGCCTCACCACAGGGCTTTGGCTGGGCGCCTGTTTGCCGACTGCCTGGTCAGAGCCTCCTGAGGGCTGCGGGAGGACCCTGGTCCTGCCCTTCGCACCAGCCAGTATGTGGCACTCGGTCCCCTCCGTGAGTGCACAGAACTGAGGACTCCCTGGCTCCCAGTGTGACCGTGGGGATCAGTGAGTCCTGAAAGGCAGAGCCTGGTTCCCGGTGCATAGTAGGTGCTCAGTAAATGGAAGCTACCAAGCTGGCGGATGTGTGGAGGTGCTGTGGGGCTTGGAAGTGCTCCCTCTTTGCCTTTCTCTGCCTGAAATAGAGGCATGGGGGATGAAAGTGGGCACAGCTTCCCCTGTCCCACATCAGTGCAGGATTTACAGAGCACGTTTGCTGAGGGCTGTTCACACTGCCAAAGCCTGATCCACAGAAAGATTTACATTAGTCCACATTTAGTTGATTCATTGACCCAGACACCTCAGAAGACTATCAGCCCCCCCTCCCCACCCCCCCACCCCAGAAATAATTTGAAGGCTGCTTACCGAGGTCATTTTGGCTTTGGGGATTACAACATGGGCAGAAGTTTCCTTGGGAATTAAAAATTGCAGCAGTAGTTATAAATTGAATTGTTACCTCCTTCAGAAATCCCAGCAGCGCAGGCCATACCAGCCTAGTAAATGGAAATATTAATGATTTGCATGTTTGTACACAGTTGGGTGTGAGCCAGCGAAATTAACACCCTCACTGGAAGAGCTGACTACAAAATTGTTGGGTTTGCAGTACAGGGAAGGCAACTGGCTGGCTGGGGTGGGGGCGGGGAAGGGGGTCGGCAGTCAAGGATTTGCATAATTTCCCCATGCTCCCTGGTTCCTGTGCTGTAGGGGCAGATTTATAATTGTTTGGATTCCAGTCAGCTCAGTGTTCAGACTTGCCTCTGCAAGCTCTGTGGTGAAGAAGCACCTGGGGCCACCGGACGCCTGCATGCCAGGTCCTCAGTGTGGTGGCTTTTCTGGCCAAAGCTGAAGTCACCCTGTGCCTCCATCCATTTTCTGGTCACTATTCCATTGGTTTGGCACTGTCGTTGCGTCTGGCGTCAACCTCTCAGGCAGTGCTCCACAACAAGCAAGGGCTGGGTGCTGTGCTCTGGCCGTCTGCCCAGCTCCCCACCTTCCAGCTTAGTGAGGCGAGCTTATGTCCTGGTCTCCTCCTGATTATAGCAGCTCCCACCTTGAAGGACTGGCAAGAATCAAATGAGATCATTCATGCAAAGGGTTATAGCTTTTAGCATACAGTAAGCACTTCATGAACAACAGTAATTCTTATCATACGCTGCATAATTGAAAGAAGCCTGGCTTTGCCAGGTCCCGGACAAGGATCACAGGCCTGCTGTGTCCCAGGCCCAGCTAGCAGTGTGCGTTCCATGAACTCTGCCTGTCTCCCTGTCTCAGTGGAAGCGATCACGTGCCAGAGGACCTCAGAGGTGCCCTGTGGGCTGTGAATCAGTTACTGTCAGCACTGGCTGCTTGCGCGTCTGCAAGCCCCCCGGTGTTCAGCCCCTGCAGGAGGCATCAGTTTTGCTGAGCCCCTGTCACAGGGGGCTTTTCATGTGTGGGATTTTGTTGAAAATGATCCTTGCAGGACCAGACATGATGGAGCTAGTCCTCGTTAACTAGCATAGTAAACTGACCAGGACAGTCCACTTTTCCTTTCCGAGGACTCTAGTGTTGACGTGTTTTTCATAATTACACAGTGGTTAAGAGCGTGGCATCTTTGCTCCCCCACATCCTAGTTTGCTGGTCTTGGGCGAGTTACTTAGCTTCTGGGCCTCAGTTTCCTCACCTGTAAATAGTACCTATCTCATGAGGTGCTATAAAGTGCTCAGAACAGTGCCTGCCTGGCACATAGTAAGCATCCAGTAAATGTTTATTATTGTTGTTATTTTTAGGTTAAATACAGAGAAATTACATTAGATTTTAATTGAAAAGATGTTACATTATGAAAGAAAAAAATTGGAAGAAATCAACAAGATGCAAAGAAGAAAATGCATGATGAGTGTCTGAATCTAAAGAACCAAAATCATAGTGAGCTGGCAGAAGTATTAGCTGTTGCTCTTCCATCTCCCAGAGCGGCTGCACGTGCGTGCGTATTCGTCATATAGCTGTAATCACGTGCCAATCATTTGTTTGTTTGCCCTCATGCTTCTGTGTGGTCTTCACGGCTGCTGTTGACGACTGTGGCGGTCCGTTAGGTTGATGTTGTGTAGCATATCAGGTCATTGTCCTTCTGCTGGATATTGAAATCATTTCCCCTTTTCACTGTTGTTATAGGTACGGCGACTATAAGAAAAGAGGCAGGAGACTGTATTTAAGGATCGCCGTTTACCGCCACAACTTTGGTCTTCTGCCTCCAAGGGAGCAATGATTATTAAGTACTTTAATTTCCTTACATGAAAGGGACAGATGGAGCCCAGAGGTGATATTAACATTGCTAGTGTAACGCTTACTGTTAGGCAGCGTGACTAATATTCCAATGTGACTAATGACCCAACTCTTCCTTTTTACTGCTTCTGGTGAGGGCTGACTTGTCACCATTTCCCCAACTGCTTGTACATGATGGAGCACCAGCTCCGTTGCTGTTGCAGTAGCATTGCTGTTAAATTGCTTACTGCAACGGTGGTTGGGATGAACAGTGTAGAACATCAGGCTGTTAGAGTAAATGTGATGGATGGAGACGATGTCTATGCCTCTTTGCTGGTGAGGTTCCAGCCGTGTTTGGATGTGACCATAAATAGGCTTTCAGGTAAAAGATGTTTCCAATGCAAAGGTTACTTAACATGCTTATGGAATCACAGTCTCGAGCTACAAGAGAACCGTAAAAATCTTAAATTTTACCAATGAAGAAATTGAGACTTGCGAGAAATGAAGTAACTTGTCTGAAGTGCCACAGTTAATTTGTGGCGTGGTATCTCCTGTGGTAGGATAGTAATATAACGATGATCCAATAACGTGTATAAAACAGTATGAAACAATGCAACATGTATATTATGATTATTTTATGTTTACATATAACATGTTATTCGATATAACCTGTTCAATTCGCTGTATATACAGTACACTTTATATATTGTATCTGTCACATATAGTATGTAATATACAATAATACATGTCATAGTTATATGTTGGGATATAATATTGGGTTGTCGGAAAAGTCATGACGCATTTTTGCAACAAAAAACATAGAAAATGTACGTCATGACTTTCCCAACAACCCAGTATCACAATAGTGCCGATGGCTTCCTGTATGCCAGGCATGGTACTGAAAGATCTCTGTACATTGTGGGATTTTATAAGTTGTTTTTTTGTTAAAGATCAGATGTAGGAAATGGAAATCATAAATGTGAAGGAATTTTTCTCATGAGAAATGTGGGGTGTTGTTTTGGGTGTGGGTAAGAAAAGGGAAGGAAACTTCGCTTTGTCATCAGATATTTCCAAATTTAGAACAATATCTATCCCTTGCCATTGGCTTTAGGATATGCTTTACCCTGGGAACGTGTGGAAAATTGATTTCCGTGTTTGGCTATTTCTTTTCCAGCTGCAT